GCGCTGCTGGCCGCCCCCCCCCCTCGCAGCAGGACTGGGGGGTGTTGGTGGCCCTGCCCTGGGAGGGTCCCTGCAGCATATGGGCCAGCAGAGAAGGAATTACCGTTTGGTGGTTGAGCTTCGTTTCCACTTGTTGGATGTTGTCCGTCTCCTGCGGCTCATAGTTCGGCACGTTACAAAGGAACTGGTTGACTTCGTTGTAGCCGGCGCGGTAGGTGGAATAGGATGATTTTGCTTTCTGCAGGGTCTGCGACCTGCAAGGGGGATAGGGGATGTAACACTTCCCAAGCTACTCCAGTGTCTGTCCGTTTCTCTGGCCCCATCCTCCCAAAGACACACACACTTGGGGCCCGAGTTCTCCCCAGGACTCCCCTTCTGCAGGCCCTACACTGTATTTCCTAGGAGGTGTTTTCTGCAGGAGAGTATAAACCAGGCTGCAGTTGTTTACTCCTTCCTGTCCCCGGAGGCCTAAGCGATGGCACCTCTGAGGTCAGGGAGGAGGCTTGTGAAGTTCAGCTCTAACCAAGCACTATACACTGTTCACCTCTCTCCAGAGACCCTGCAGGTGTGCTGGAACCATTGGCGACAGTGGACTAGAACTACCCATGGGCATGGCGCTTGCCAGCCCCAAAGGTGTCTGTGTCCTGAGACGCTTAGAGCGCTAAGATGTGCATGCAGCACAGCACAAACGTCAGTCACCGAGGGGGGAGCAGAGACCGTGCCGTTGCCTGGTTGGGTATCGGGGGCGGTTGGCTGGTGAAGAGCAAGGGGATGTGGCAAGGGAAGTGCTTGGAGAGTCGTCAGACCTCTGGCACAGCGCGAAGGCGGACGGGAAGAGGAGGGTGAGGGACAGAGGAGAGGTGTGCGGGTGGAGTGTAGGGAGATGGGTCAGGACAAGTGTACCAAGCCTGAAGGGGCCTGATCTTGATGTGGAGTGAAAATGAAGGCCGGTTTAGCGGGGAGACCAAGTCAGAAGCAGATGGGAGAGGCTGTGCTGGAGGGGAATTCATTCACCCTTTGTTCAGCCCTGTGGACAAAATGGTCATCACTCCTCCAGTCTCCTCTCTGAGGCCATTTAACACCGGGGCTCCCCAGATCTGCCCTGCGGGGACACTGAAGAACTGTCCGTTTCTCCTTCCCCGGGCCTTTAATGGCAAACTCCCATCAGCTCTGTATTCACCCCTGTTCACCCATCCCTGTGTCCTGGGGGATCCGTTCTGCCCGAGTTGATTCCATTCCTATCAGTCGTGTTCAGTTGTAAAAACCCACGTGCCAGGAGACGAGGGGCTCCCTCTCCTAGCCTGTGTCTCCGGTGTGCGGTCCTGCTGAGGTTGTTGAAGCGCTGGCTGAGTTTGTGGAGCTCGGCTTCCTGGCGCTCGATGTCGGGGCAGTGCTCCTGAAAGCGGCTGGCCAGGGAGCTGGAACACGTCTTTGCTTGTTGCAAATTCTGCTCTGCCTCATTGAGCAGAGACCTCTTGGCCTGCAGCTCCGCGCCCGTGGCCTGGAATGGGAGGAGGAGAATGATAGGGTTGCTGGATGGATACTACGGCTTTCACCATGTCTCGCTCTGACATAGAATCACAGGGCTGGAAGGAATCTCGAGAGGTCACCCGGTCTAGTCCCCTGCTCTCACAGCAGGGCCAAGCACCAGCTAGACCATCCCTGACAGATCTATCCAGCCTGCTCTTCAATCTCTCCAGTGGTGGAGATTCCACAACCTCCCTGGGCAATTTATTCCAGTGTTTCACCACCCTGACAAAAGTTCTTCCTAATGTCCAACCTGAACCTCCCTTGCTGCAATTTAAGCCTCTCATCCTCCGAGAATAGGAATGTGGCAGAAGAGCTAGTATAGTGGTGGGTAGGGTGCTTGCCCAACAGAATGGGGACGTGGGGTTACGTTTCTGCTCTGCCTGATAGGGGATATGGACTTGAACCCAGGTCTTCCACATCCCAGCAACGTGGCCTGGCTACCCAAGCTTGGCTGAGGCTCTAGTTGTAAAGGTTGCTGGTCACTCAAGCGCATCCCTGTGCACAACTACCCCTTTCAGCCCTGAATCCTGTACTACCCCAGGCAATCGCACCCTGGCCCTGGCACAGCGGGGGCGGGGAAGGGGAGGCCCTGAGGCTGCCCTGGGACTAGGAGCTAAAGGTGGCTCCTCTGCTGTGGGGCCCTTTAGCCCTTCTGTTCTGAGTCCCGGGGGCGCCCTATAGTCCAGTGAGCAGTGCCCGGCGGGCATTAGAATTGTGGGTTGCTGCGTGCAGGGCACTCGCTGAAGAGGTGCATCTTGGGGGCAGTGAGGCAGGGGCCTCCCTGATTATCCCTCGTGATGCGATGAAATCTGAACAGAGCCCACCCCCTGTCAAGCAACCTCTTCTCAGGACTGGGAAAATGGAACGGGCCCAAGCCTGCTCCGTCTTTGCTGAAATGTCACAGCTGCGTTTTGCCTGGTCCCTTGAGCAGACACCTGGGCCAGGTTTTCTAGCCTGTATCTGTTTATCGGGCAGGGGGCTAGGTTAGAGACTTGGCTAAAGGACCCCTTACCAAGAGCTCCTCTTTCTTATGATCTAGGGCCTGCAGGTCCTCCGGCACAGTATCCTCTAACACCAGTTTGTTTTCATATGCAGACAGCAGGTCTCGGCCTTGCTGAAGGCTCTTCTCAAGGCGAGTGGCCACCTCCACCCTGTAAACACAGGAAGAGGTCACTGCGCGCCCATGCCACTGCTGAAAAGCCTGGGTTCAGCCTGGCGAAAGCCATAACGTACTTTTCCCGGGCAGCACCGAGCAGCTGGACCACGTGGTCGTACTTCTTGTTCGTGTCCTCTACCTTGTTCCTCACCAAGGTGGCACTGCCAGCGCTGGGCATGGCATCAATAAAGGCCTCACACTCCTGGATGATCTTGGCTTTCTCCGGCTCGATGCAGCGGAGCTCGTTGGAGATATTCTGCGGTGAGAAGAAAGCCTCTGAACAGGACTCTAGCAACCGGAGGACAAATAAGGCAGCAGTTCCTGGCTGCCACGGGCGGGTAGGGAGAGTCACACTGAGACATGCCTCCTCTTCCAAATACAGGGGGAGGCTTTTGTGCGAGGTGGGTCTGTGTGTTGGGATACTGTGATGTTCTTTGAGGACACTCAGGGACAAGCAGCAGCCCATTGCTACGGCATGGCATTTCTTTGCAGCACCATGCCGTTGTGCAAAACGTTACTCATCCCTGCATCAACTCACTTTCCAATATTCCATCATCCACCCTATTTTAATGTCCAAGAGTGTGTCCTCTCCACTCGCCCTACCTCATCCCCCTAGTATTCCCTATTTACAGTGAGCCCCATACAGAACAGTCCCTAGCCACGTTAAGGCCACTTCACCTGATTTCTGACACCATCACAGTGACAACAGAGATCTGAATTTTCGGGCAGAAGTCTTGTCTTTCACTGCAAGAAACTTTGCTTGGTTTGTATATTCATGGAATATGCCAGGGTTGTTAGTGGCTTGGGTCTCCTGCCCTCTTCGTATCCTGTTTGTTTCTCAAGCCAGCTGAAGATCAAGGGCTGATAATTTCCCACTGCTTAAACAGACTCCCCCCAGGGTGGGAATTTTTTGTTTTGCATCCCCCCTTCTTCCATAGAAATGTATCAGGGTCAAGATGGGTCCCAGTACCAGGCGATATGGTCACAGGCCTTATTAGTTCAATCACCTTTAGACTTACAGGACAAAGAAGTCTGTTTACAAGTTCTTAAGTTGATCACCAAGTTGTTAAGGCTGCGAGGGCGGCGGGGGGATACACACCAGTAATGGCTCTCATTAGCACATTTAAAGCTATAAACAGCCTCCTATTTCTAACTTCACATAAAAGAATGGTTACATGCTCCAAAATAGGAACTACTCACCCAGCAGACTAACCGTAAAATCGATAGGTCACTTGTCTAAAGCATCTGAGAGTTATACATATTTATATTCACACGCTAGTTTTCATAAAGCGTGGGGTGTGGGGCCATCACAGAGCAATGGCCGCTAAAAATAGTGGCACTTCTGTACCTTTCCTTTTCTTTCTGAATATGTGGAGAGGGGATTTTGCGGCACAGGGCATTGGCATGGCTCTGCATTGGCAGCCAAGAGCTTGGTAGCTGAGCAAACAGACATTCAAAGGACCCCTTTCTACGCGGAGGGAGATTCCTTAGCTGGCTTTTCAGCTGGGGTGTTTCCTGAACCAAAGTTGCTTTCGTGGCTCTTGCTGCATAGGTAATTAGCCTATGAAGTGGGAAAATGCCCTCCCCTGCCTTCCCCATCTCGGTTACCTTAAGTTCCTTTGAGCGCTCGGCACTGTCCTGCGCTGCCCGGCTCTGCTCCAGCGGGGGGCGTAAGTTTGCCGTTATCGCCTTCTCCTGCTTGTCCAGGTCGCTGTTCACTTTCTCCAGCCCTGCTAGCAACTGGCGCACCTGTACAGAGGCAGCATCTAGAGAACCAAGGGGCGTGGGGTTAGAGGCTGTGGGAAGCAGAGACTGGACAGAGAGCGAGCGAGCTGAGGACAGCCAGATCCCCAGCTCCCCCTACTGCAATCCTGCCCCCAACCCCTGGACCTTGGGGCTAATAGAAATCTGCCTCCTAGCTGGGTGGCTCCAGTCCACTTCTTGATGCTGCTCAATGACCTTCCTATGACCTTGTAGCACAGGACAAGCCTTTGCGGGAGGCGCTTCGCCACACACAGCTGGCCTGCCTGGCTCCCTGTTCCAGCATCTCTGCCCCTTTGTTCCCTGGAGAGGAAAATAAGCTGGGCCACTCCTGGGCCCTGTTTTCCTGGACGAGAAGTGCCAGGAGCTGCCAGCTGCCATAGAGCCGCTGCTAAGGAAGCGGCTGACCACGAACTCAGCTGTCTTCTTGCAGCAGGAAGAGAAGGACTCTCTTGCCGTTACTGGCCCAGAACACAGAGGACCCGTGACCCAGGAACGGAAGCCAGAGCCCGCTGCCACCGGTTCACAGCGAGCTACCAGGCATCATCCTCCCTTAGGCTGGCTGGAAGACGTGGCGAAGGCTTGTCAAAGGGATGCCTGTGTGAAGACCCACCTCCAATGCCATCCGCCTTCAGCCCTTCCCAGCGTTGCTGCAGCGCCGCCTTGCTGCTGGCTGTCTTCTGCTTGATGCTCTGGTACTGGCTGGCAATGCTAGAGAGAGACACCGTGCAGGAAGCGAGGTTAAGGCCTGTCTCGTCACCCTTTCAGTGCCGGATGCTGCCAGTAACATCAGGACTGTCACCCGCGTGCTGGCCAAGCTACTGCCCTGCCTTCTGGGGGAGCTCTGCACCATAAGCGAGGACTTGTCGCCGAGGTACAAGGGTGCCCCTCCCAGCAGCCCTGTCCCTGCAGGCAGCATGTTCAGCTGCTGTCAGCTCCGGCTCCTCACCGAGGAAGCAGAGCAAGGGGCTGCCTTGAATTGCTCTCTGGCCACCCGGCTCTGGTGCTGGTGGATGGGCAGAGGAGGGCTGCTGGGCTCTGGAAAGAGCCCTGTGAGTAGCAGGGTTGCCATAAGGCAGAGAGTAGGAGGGCAGTGAGGGAATACGACAGTCCTGCTACCTCCCGCTCTGCCGGTCTGCCCTGTGGGGGTCTGTTCGTAGCCCTGCTGTGGTGCCACCTGGCGCCCACTGCGCGAAGGCTGAGAAGCTGCTGCAGCTCTATCAAGGAGGCCCAGCGTCACTGTCTCCCACTTCCACTGAGAGCAGCCTGGGCCCTGAGGGGCTATGCCCTGGCTTCCTGCTGCGGTTCTCTCTCGGGACGGGAAAGGCTCGGGGAGCAGAAGAGCCTCGGTCAGACCCTGACCCCAGAGCATGGCCCAGTGAAGCGCCCCCCCCCCCCACGTTGGTTCAGTATGAGCCCGGTGCTATCCCCGGGGGTGTCCAGCTCAGCAGGAGGGAGAAGGCCCAGTCCCACCCTTGTTCGGGGGTGGGAACCTTCTCTGGGTTGGGGGCCGCATACAAGTGAGAAGCAAAAAACCGACCAAGCAACCCTCACTGAGGTGGCCCGTTGGTTCAGTATGAGCCCGGTGCTATCCCCGGGGGTGTCCAGCTCAGCAGGAGGGAGAAGGCCCAGTCCCACCCTTGTTCGGGGGTGGGAACCTTCTCTGGGTTGGGGGCCGCATACAAGTGAGAAGCAAAAAACCGACCAAGCAACCCTCACTGAGGTGGCCCCGAGGAGAAAGTCTATGCTGAAAAGGGGCCGGGCCGCACGTACCTGTCAGTGAGCGCTAGCGCTTCGGGGGCTGGGGGGGGAATCATGAAGCACACCCCGGGGACGCGGCTCTCGTTTCCGGAATTGTCCGTTACATCCCAGATGTCACTGTTGTTGTTAGTCAGGGTGTATCGGGCTCCACGGGTAACCTGGCCCTAGGGCAGAAACCAGTCAGTTACCACCGCCACCACGCTGGGCTAGTGCACGCCTTCCTGGGCCACGGGCCCGGTGGTGAACGCGCAGCCCTACGGCTTTTCCCAGGCAGGCAGGCTCCCCCGCCCCTGCGCCGGCCGGTGGGTAGCAGGGCCCTTGGAGAAAACGCAGCTATTCCCTTGTGGGGGTTGTTCTGGCTCTTTGACCACTTGCTGGTTCAAACGTGGCTGCTAAGACTGTCCCACCCACCGCCATGCATTCAGTCCTCAGGGCGCCTCTGTCAGGCAGGGCTGTACTGAGCGTCCTGCAGTGAACGCAGGGCCCTGCCCTTCCCTGGTCCCTCCTCTGCTTGCCAGGAGGAGAAAGCACCCTGGGTCTGGCTGCTAATGTCAGCCGGCTGGGGGCTGGCTTAGATGCAGAGCGCTCCTCTTCAAGTGTACGCCTCTTCGGGACACCACCGCCCTTCATCCCGGCTTGCATCGCTTTACAGGGGCGGGGAGGAGAGACAGTGCAAATAAACTCCCTGAAAGGGGCTAGTTGGGACTGGCAGGCTCCCTCCCTGCGGCTGCGGGTAATTTCCTTTCCTGGGCTGCAGGCTGGTGGCTGTGCTGTGGGTAATCTCTCTCCTCCAGCCCTGCTGCCCACGGCACTCAGCCAGGAGGGGCCAAGGCTCAGGGTGCCCGGCAAAGGAAGGCAGAGAAGTGCTTGGGTGCTGGGTTAGCCCGTGCTCCGTTGTTATCCTGAACTGGGCTACCACCACCAAGAAGCTGCAGGAGAAAAGACCCTCCAGGCTAGCTGTGTCTGGCTACTACCGTCCTCCCCCGACACATGTCCCCTCTCTTCCGGGCAGGGCCTACACGGACCAAGTTCTATTTTAATCCCTAGGCACCAGGAAAACTTCCATTTTTAGCCAGGCCCCCATGGAAGGGGGGAGACAGGTGGGGCCCCTGGAGCCCCAGGATCTGGGTGCTAGAGGGAAAGATTACCTCCTCGCCTTCGTAGTCACAGAGCGCCTCCACGGGGATGGGCTTGAGTGGGCTCTTCCAGCGGTACTTCAGAGGCAGCACCTGCTGGCTGTGCTTCTGCAGGGACGTCACCACTGCCTCGTACTTGTCCAAGGCCTTCTCCTGGTCCTGAGGGGAAATGAAAAACCCCCGAGGTGGGAGGCTTAGCAATGTGCTGCTGTGGACCATGGCAACTAGCGGGCTGTGCATGTGGCGTGTTGGCCATGGAAGGGAGCCCTGGGGCAGTTTGAAATGCTCCCTCAGGCCTCCGCTACTAGGGCCCTTTAAACGAGAGGTTTCGTGTGGCATCGTCACGCTGCAAAATGTCAAGAGACGCGAGCGCAGTCTCCTCAGCTGAGACTCAGAGGCTGAGATGCGGTTGGAGGCCCCGTTGCTGTGAGCCTTTCCCGTTTCCACGGACGAGGTGCTGCAGCTGCCCACGGGCCCCGCGCAGCGTTGGTGAGCAAATGGGAGGGGGAATGTGCTCGCCTGCTCTTTGCTCCCTTGACGGGGGTGTGCCATCGCAGCCGGCGAGCAGCGGGCAAGAAATGCTTCTGTGTCTGGGGGGGAAGGGGCTGGGCTTTGAACTCGTCTTGGTGGGAGCGTTCGCTGAGGGAACGTGTGATCGGTGAGGTGTGACAGCCAGAAGCCTGGTGTTCTGGGACAGGGCCGCCTAGGGCAGGGGTACAGACAAAGAGCCAAAATAGTGGTGGATGCAGTGCAATGAGACGAGGGAAAGAAGTGGTTGAGGAAAAAAAAAAAAGCTTCCCCTTTAACACCCAGGTGTGGCTGCCCCTTTAACAGCGGCATCCTGACCAGACAGGGAAAAAGGGTCAGAACAGGGGAATGCAGAACAGCCCTGGGTGCGGGAGCCGCAGTTTTTCCTTGGGAGAGTCACATGCGGCTCGCAAGCCACCCCTGGCCAAGGGGGAGAGCGGGGTGGGACCAGTACGATTCGCTAAGGACCTGTCCTTGGTGCTTACCCTTAGTGCCAGCCCCTAACGCTTGGGCCCAGCATTGAAGCAGGGGCTGGAGACTTGGGGGTGTGGGGAAGGAGGAGGGCGACTGGCTGCCTGCACTGGGGTGGAGGCATGTCCCATTAGCGTGTATGTGGCTGTGCAGCTCTCTGGCCTGGGAGGACCCCGGCTGCTCCGCTGGGCTTTTCCCTGAGTGGGTGGCTCTGTGGATTGAGGTTTCCCTCACGGGTGATTTGGCCAGGCCCTGTGACAGTCGAATGATGTTCCCAACTGAGCAAGTACTGATGTGATGGGAGAATCCCAACAGGCCAGTCCTCTGCTCCCTCAGCTCGCCTGGGGCTGGGCTAGCAGGCCGGAGAGCAGCCAGCACAGAACAACGAGCAAGGGAATGCAGGGGCTGGGCCAGCTCTCGCCCTGGGCAGAGACCAGGGGCCTGCAGACTTCTCGCAGCACCTGCCCTGCTGGCACAAAGGTTCCTCCCAGCACGCATGCCAGTGTCCTGCTGCTACTCACGTCCAGCTCCCTAAGAAGCGACTCCAGCTGGTATCTGTCCTTGAAGTCAGGGCTGTATTTCTGGTCCAGGTCGGTGTCCACCTTCTTCAACAGCTCCTGGGCATCCGCAGCGTCCTTCTGGAACTGCAGGAGGGCCAAGCAAGACTCTTGTGTAGAGAGAGCCCTCGCTGGGAGAGAGATCAGACACCTGCACCGGCCCAGCACAGGTGGGTGCAGCATCCTCTTGTGGAGGGGGGGGAGTGGGCAGGACCAGGGGGGCTGGGCCAGGGCTTGGTGAGCCCCAGGGCAGCAGGGTGCATGTGGGGGGGGGTTCCTTGGCAGCCCCACACAGCACTGCCTCTGCTGTGCTCTCTGCTGTTTGGGGGCACTTGCATTTCACGTCTCCCCAGCGTGGGGCTGCTGAGCCTGGCGCAGTCTTGCCAGAGGAGTCCCAAGTGCCCCGTAGACGCAGAGAAGCAGAAGCTGCTCAGTGGTCCCCGCCCCCAAGGGGAAGACACCTGAGCATCCCTCCTGTGTGTTTCAGCATCCCAGCCCGGCTCACTCCTCTGGGAGCCGTCACGCCTCGGCCTCTGCTCCTGCTCCGCCCGTCCCCCCGTCCGAGCATCTGCGTGGCTCCATGCAGCCCCAAGGCCACCAGGTTCTCCAGCAGGGAAGCCGTGAGGCCTGGTTCAGCCCCTGCCAGTGTGGAGATGTCCCCCTGGGATTCCTCCAGCGCTGCCCTGCCCCACCTGAGGGACGCGGGGAGCGGCAGGACAGCTGAGGACTTGCTCTCCTCGGGGAGGTGACTATCCCCCTGCGCTGTCAGGGGCCTGGCGGTGACCGCGTGGGGGAGGTGTGACGTGACGTGACGTGTGTGTCTGAAACACCCCCCTCAGGAACGGATGCCACCTCCTCACTTCCCATCTGCACTCGCTCTGGCTCCTCCCTCCCTCAGCTGCTTCTCGTCTCAGCACCCTCTGCAGTGTGTGTTCCCGTTCCCTGGGGAGCCCGACGCTCCCAGGCACGGAGGTGGGGAGGGCTCTGGGGCCTACGCTGCTCCCTGGGGGGCGAGGGGAATTCAGGACACAGCGGTGACTGAGCGGGACTTGGGAGGGTCGTGTGAGGGCGTCACAGCAGAAGCTCTGCTCTCTGGGGCTCTTATGCCGGGGTTCTACAGAACGCCCGAGCCCCACGTTCTCCAGTGCGTTATCCTCCCCGCTCCCTTTGCAGGCACCGTCCTTTGGGTGAGGAGTGGGGAGGCACCGAGATCAGGCCCAGTGCCTCCGAGGCCCTGCTGGAGTCAACGGGCGTTGGGAGTCTCCAGACCTCTGCAGATCTGGGCCTCTGTGACTTGCCCAAGCTCGGGCAGGGATTAAACCCAGCTGGCCCGTGCCCAAAGTCCTGAGCCAACCTCCTCTTTGCAGCTGGAGTCTCCGTCTCCAGACAGCTTCAGAGCGAGGCTGGTGCCTCTCTGGCTGAGGGGTCAAAGGCAAGGCTGGAGGCACAGGGTGGGGTAACTGGGCGACTTTCTCTGGCCTGGGCTGTGCAGCCAGCCTGGATGATCAGTGATCCCTTTGGGCCTTGCAGTCTATGAAACGCTGAGTCTAGCATCCCGGCCCTTAGCGTTGGCAGATAGACACAGAGCGCCTGGGGCTGTTGCCAGCATTCAGAGACACTCAGACCGAGCCGCTGCTCCCCCAGGGCCTACCGAGAAGTAGGCGCCTTCCGAGCCCGGGAGAGTGGTACCTTGTGATAGTCCTCCATGAATTTCAGATGGCTCTCCTCACAGATCAGTAAGTTGAGATACTCCTTCCAGTCGGCATGGACAGCCTCCATGTGAGCCTACAACACACCAGCCACGTCACAAGGGGGGCAGCGGGCATGTGGCGGAGGCTTGCGCCTGCCCCGGGGTTAATATTGGCTCCAGGGAGGAATCCTGGGTGGGGATTTACTCGGTGACACAATCGTGAATGGGGTTTGAGCTGTGGGGTTGAGCCGCAGGAGCAGCACCTTGGCCCGTTCTCCTCTGGGGGCTGACGGCTTGAAAGCAACTCGCCAGTTTGCTACTGGGCTAAGTTCTCTCGTGGTGTAACTCCACTGAAATCAGCGGCGTTACTCCACCTAACTGAACCTGCTTGCTCCCCAGGGGAAATCGCCACCTTCTATCTCCCCGTGTCAGAGCAGAGAGGGCCAGAAGGCAGGACATGGTGAAAAAACGTGTCCTGTCTTTCGACACCGATTTATTTTACCAGCTCTGCTTGTCAGGGAGGAGCAGGAGAACAGGCCAGGTGGAGGTGGGGGTATGTGGGTCTCTGTTTCTCCGCTGTACCCGATTCATACAGTTGGAACAGCTGGGAGCCCTTGTGGTGGCACCTGGCAGCTCGGGAAGCTGTGGAAAGCTGAGGAGCCGGGACAGGTTGAATGCCAGTCCAGGACAAGGCGTTCTCTGTGTGGTGTCACCTCAGGGTACTGCTCAGGGTCAAGCGGGCACCTGTGGGTCTCTCCGGGGCATGCAGGGAGAAGACAAACCCGTTCACCTCGGGAGCTCTCACCTCAATGGGGTTCTTCCCGGGGTGGTTTTGGGCCAGGAGCTGGTCTCCCTCCACGTGCAACTTGTTGACAGTCTCCTCTTTCTCTTCCAGCTTGCGGCTGATGAAGTTCTAGACAGAGGCAGCGAGAGTGTCGGGCTCCGAAGGGAACCTCAAGCAAACAGACGGGCACACAGGAACCCTGGTGACACCAGGGGGCAGCGGCCCTGACTTATGCCCCAGATTTTACCTGCCTTCAAATGAAGGGGTCTGACTCCTGGGGGTCCTCAAAACCAGAGCCCTGCCCTGCTGCACTTAGGCCCCTCCTTTTGTTAGAGAGGCTTGTAAAGTCTCCGAAGGGATTCTCTCCAAGATTCCACCCAGGTAAATCCAGCAGGAGCGAGAGGAGAGACGAGACGCGCATCATTGTTCTCTCGGTTGGGCGTTAGGGCCCGAGTCTGGACGTGTAATAACGTCAGTCTCTAGATAGCATGCAGCACTTTGCAGCCGTACAGCTCAGAGTACTGTGCAGTGGAGGGAAACTGAGGCACAAAGCGAGGCAACTGAGGCACGGAGCAGGGACATGAAGCCAGGGACAAAGCTCGAGTCCCAGTGCAGTGTTCCTTCCCTTAGGCAACACTGCCTGCACCTATGCTGTAATACACGCGGCCAGTAGGAGAGAGCTGGTGAAGTGGGCAGGGTTACGGGAGCGGGGGAGCCTACCTCGTACTGGCGGCGCCGGCTGGGGTAGTCCAGGTTGCGGTCGCTCCAGTCGTAATCTTGTTTCCCTGGCCCCTCTGGCCCCAGCCAGTAGAGCTTGTTGGTGCAGCGCTGCATGTAATCCTGCAGCGAGTTCAGATCGTGCTGCCGCTGCTGGGACCCCGACTGTCAAAGGAGAGGGGTTACGGGGGTCAGCGCTGGAGTGGGCGGAGCAGCCCAGGGTTCCGTGCGGTTTTTGGGGGTTCCGCACCCCCCCCAGCAATGAGCATCGCTGCCTCTGGCCCCAGCCAGTAGAGCTTGTTGGTGCAGCGCTGCATGTAATCCTGCAGCGAGTTCAGATCGTGCTGCCGCTGCTGGGACCCCGACTGTCAAAGGAGAGGGGTTACGGGGGTCAGCGCTGGAGTGGGCGGAGCAGCCCAGGGTTCCGTGCGGTTTTTGGGGGTTCCGCACCCCCCCCAGCAATGAGCATCGCTGGGCAACGCGGCTCCCCCCCCCCGGCGTCCTTCCCTTGCACCCTCGCCCCAGCGCTCTGGCGCTTCCCCACCAGCCGCCGGTCTCCTCAGGCTCTTACCAGCAGCTTCTGGTACTTCAGCTGGAGGCTGCTCATGTATTCCTGCGAACAGAGGGGAAAGCCCGCGTGAGAAGAGCCCGAGCATGGCAGGGCAAAGGGGGCTGGCTCTGGGGGGGAGCCTGGCAGGGGGCTGCCACTGGGAAGCTGGGGTCCGTGTGTGGAACTGAACTCTGGATACAGGACCCCCTGCAATTGGGGGGTTGGATACAGGGCGTGGTGGGGCCCATCTCGCGGCAGGCGGCTGTGGCTGTTGCTCTCCTTGTGCTCCTGGGCGTCTGCCCTTCCCCTGTGTGTCTCCCCTCGTCCGGCCTGAGGTCCCTTGGCTAGCTTGTCCTGTGCACTGCAAGCCCTTGCGTAGGAGGGGGCGGGGCGGGGCGGCAGGTATCACAGGTGGGAGGGAGGGGGGAAAGGAGGGGGCACTTTGTTTTCCCAAACCACCAACTTGGCCCCGCCCACACTCCGCCCCCAGAACTCCTACAGGTGTACAGGGGACAGTGTGTCACTGATCCCGCATACCCCCCTCCCCATGCTCCGGAGCCCACCCACCCTCCCTGTGGTGCTGTGTGGGGGCAGGGGGAGAGTGGCGTGGCTCCTGCGTAGGGCCGGGGCTAGGGCCCTTCCCGGACCCGCCACGGGCTGGGCAGGGCGGAGAGGGAGGCGGCTGGCATGTTCCACAGAGAGGAGGCTGGCGCCAGGAACAGCAGGGTGGGGGCAGAGAGAGACGGGCCCTACCTTGTCCCGCTCCTTGCTGAGGTGGGGCCCGATGGCCATCACCTCATTGTGGAAGATGTTGTGCTCTTCCACCTGGTTGTTGACTAGAGGCAGGTCGGTTCCGAAGCCCTGGCTGTTGAGCATTTCCTGGCCCAGAGAGGTGGAGGTGAGTGACAGGTGCCCTGGGGAACACCCGCCCGCTCTGCTGGCTGTCTCTGACGAGCACTAAGGCAGAGACATTGCCCCCTCCCACCCCCAGCTCCAGGTGCCGCCTTCTGCTTCATTGCGATGGGAGTGGGGTGGGAAGCGGCAGGTGACTCTGCCTGGCTGACCTTGGAGGAGCCATGCCTCAGGCACCCTGTGTCACAGCTGGGCAGGGATACCCCAGAGCAAGGGGCCCTGGCACATCCAGGACGAGCGTCGCGCAGGGGCTGCTGCTGCAGGCCCTCGAGCAGGTGTGAACATGCCTCACCTGCAGCGATGGCGGGGGGGCCCGTGGCCTGGGCGTGGCACGAAGGACTGACCCCGCCCAGCCCAGGTACAGCGTGGCATGATTGACAAGCTGCATTCTAGAGGGCTGCACTGGAGCAGAGGTGGGCGCATCTGGGGAAGATCTGATCCAACAGAGCAGCCTCCGTCCTCCGAGAGGGCAGCCCTGGTCTGCACCGTGAAGGTCCCCTTCTCCAGAGGCTGAGGGGCCTGCTGATGGTGCCTAGCCGGAGCAGCAGGAGGAGCAGCAGCCCAGGACTTCAAGGTGCCTGGGGACGAGGTGGGTGGCCAAGAGAACCAGTGCGGGGTGTTTTCCAAGCACAGTACACGCCTCCCTCATTGCAAGGGCCTCTTTGGAGGCAGCTGAGCCCAGGCAATGGGCAGAACTGCAAGCCCAGCAGGCCGTCCCAATGCAAAGTGCCAATTCCACAGGCCGTGCTGCGCCTGCCAGCTCAGGCTGGATTTGGGGATTTGCAAAGTGAAGCTGACACGGCAGTTTGAATATCAGCAAAGTCAACAGCGCGGAGAGACCTGTTGTCTCTTTTATTGTGCTGGATCTGGCTCGTGAATAGAGCCGGCCTCGGAGGCCAGCCCTCGAGGGGCGTGAAATCGTCCTTTCGTTCACGAGACGTGACCCAAAGTCCCCGTGATCGTCTGAACAAAATGCGATTCCGTTCCCAGTCCCCGAGCAGCGGCGGAGGGTGGTTACAGCGCGGACGGTGCGGCTGCCCCGCTCCGCTGAAAGGCGCTCAGCTGGGGTGAACTGGCACAACGCTCGGGGTTTCGGTGGATCAGAGCTGATTTACAGCAGTTCAGGATCCGGCCCTTAGCTTTTCACACTAGGTGGATAGATGAGATGCTAGAATACAAGATGATACCGGGGGCAGGACCAAGCCCAAAGCTACCACAGGGCAAGACTATTTAGCTCTTATGTGGTGCTTTTCGTCTGTAGATCGCAAATCATTTCCCAATGGAGATTCGCGTCCTTATCCCCACTTTCCAGGTGGATAAACCGAGGCACAGAGCTAAGACGTACCTCACCTGAGTTCAGCTGGCAGGCCAGTGACCGAGCCCAGGTCTCCTAAATCCCTGCCAAATGCTTCACTCACTAGGATGCACTGCCTCCAAAGGAGGTTTTGGCCACCCCCACTGGTCCCCACTCAATACCTTCTTCTGTGGGGTGTGCTCTGTGCAATGGTAAGCTGCCTTAAGCGTTCTAGTGAGAGCTCCTTGGTGTGTTCTTCCCCGGGAGTAGAAGGGGGGAGAATTCACGTGGCAAATTCTTGGTGCAAGCCCCTGTCTCCAGAGCCGCCCCTTGGGTGGCTGCAGGCAGGCTCAGGTGTTTCGGGGCAGATGCCAGCCTCACTGTACCTGTTTCTCGTCGATCACGGCGGACCAGTTGACCTGCGGCTCCACCTCCTGCGGCGTGAAGTTGTAGATCTGGTCGCGTTTGGCACACAGGTTGGCCACGCGCTCCTTCAGCTGCCGGATGCTGCAGCAAGCGAGAAGACAAGCCACATGGGCATCAAGGATGTGCCATGTGGGCTGGCTTAGGCCAATCGCTTGGCTGGTACAGGCCAGCACCATCAGTTCTGGGTCATCCTCCCTCCCCAAGTTCCCTGGCTTGTTGAGAGAGGAAGGGGGCATGGTCAGATGGGACTGCCATGTGATCCTTACCGAGAGCTCTGGAACGTGGTTTTCCTTTGCACCAGAAAACCAGCAGCTGCTGCAGCAGCGCAGGGCTGGCTCACTAGGTGCAGAACTAACCCAGAGGAAAAGGAGCACCAGTACGATTTTACCTTGCGTGGTCTCCCAGGGTTGACCCTACTTCACTTGAGAGTCCAGTCTGAGGTGGAGTAACTACAGACACACACAACCTCTCTTTGAGCCGCTCTGTCTGTGCTGTGGCTAGAGCTGTGTGTGACTGAACTGGGAGGTGGTGGGGGGGGGTGGACATCTTTTTGGGTTGACCAGAAACAAACGTTTTTTCAAAGATATTCAGCCAATCAACATTTCCAGCAACCTGCACTTACTTTTCCAAACGTTTTGTTCAACCCTAAATGAAATATTTCTCTCTCTCCCCCAGCCAGTTTTTAACTTTCTTTTTAAAAAGTTAGTAAAAGCCAAAATGAAAAAGTGTGTTGAACTGAAAAATCAAAATGTTTCATTTCTAAAATGTCCAACCCGAATGTCCCAACTCTTTTCCGATTTTTTTGTCCTGAAACAATTAGGCGAATTCCCCCCAAATCTGCAAAATGTTTCATTTGACCTGAAGATGCATTTTTTATTAAAAAAACCCGTTTCAGACCCAAAAATGGTGCCCAGCTCTAGCTAGAACGTACCATGTCCTCATTGAGGGCTTCATAGAAATGTCAACTGGCCCTATAAGAATTTGACAAGTGCCTCTCTGAAGCGGGGCCTGGCTAGGCAAGCAACATGCATGCAGGTAGGAATTGAGATCAGATTTTGCTCCCCACTGGACTCACTCTTCTGTGATCATGTCCCCCTGTGGGTGTTTCATGTGCCGGGCAATTGCTGCGTCCCCATCCAGAACGTAGAGGAGTTTATCCGACTCGGTGAGTTTACTGGCTGTGTAGTCCTTGTATTGAGCAGGCTGGCCGGCCTTGAGTTTGTGTAAGTCCTGTGGATGCAATGAGGAAAGGCTGGTGACTTGGCAGAAAGAGCCGCGTGATGGCAAACTGCCCAACACATGGAGTTAGTAAATGAGGGCGGGGCGGGCAGCCTGCGACGCGAGGTGCGGTGTGCAAAGGGGCACTCACGAAGAGGCTGCTAATCACGCACTGCCCTGCTCCCCAGCCGCAGGGGCTCGGGAACCAGGCTGTCGGCGGCCTGGGAGGCCAAGGGCAGAGCTGAACCCCAAGCAGGAATTGTCTGTTTCCTTTCCCCTTGATGCTCCTGCCTCTTGCTTTGTCCTGATCACACACGACTAGACCCCCTTCTGAGGAACCCTTTCACTAGCGTCTGCGGAAACACCAGGAGGTCACGTCAGCTCCTGCACCCCACAGCAGGCCTCTTCTGAGAGCTGGGATCCAAGCCCCGGGGAAGCAGGGTCTGAGGGGTTAACTCCTAGCCTCATGTTTCCCCCTTCGTCTCTCTGCCGCTCTGCATTGGTGTAACGGAGCCAGCGTGGTAGCCTGTTCCCCAGGCTAGACCTTAAAAGTGGCAACCCATGCCAGCAGCTCTGCTCTTGCCGGCTACTTGGGACGTGGGCCAATAGCAAAGGCCTCAAATTGTATGACCTGTCATCTTATTTTTTCTCCAAAATCAAGCAGGACTAAACGTCTGTTGGGACTGTTAGTTTAAATCAGTGGTCCCCAACCATTTGAGGTTGCTGGGCACCAGGAGGCGTGGCCGTTTGCCTGCTGGGCGCTAGAGGGCGGGGACACTTGCGCGCCCAGGGGCGGGGCCCCCCCATAGCTGCGCGCCCGAGGCCAGCGCACCCCCCATGTGCTGCGCGCCCAGAGCACGGGTGGCCAATCCACAGTGCTCCCGGGGCCGGTGCTCACCGTGCACCATGTGCCCGGGGCCAGCTCCGGCACCATGCATGTGCCCGGGGCCAGGCCAGCCCTGAGCACTTGGCGGGCACGCACTAATGCCCCCGTGGGTGCCATGGCGCCCGCGGGCACCGTGTTGGGAACCACTGGTTTAAATTCTCAGAGTTGAGGTTTTTCCAGAGAGAAGGGGGGAATGAAAGGGGTTAAAACTTCCTCCTCCATTGGGGAGATCTCCCGCCCTTTGGCACTGGGATGGTTGTGAAGAACTGGACAGGGAAATGGAACTGTGTAAACAGAAAGTGAAACTGATGCTCTTAGTTTCACTGTCCCATGGGAGCGAAAAGCCAGAGGCAAACAAACTGTGCAGGACAGCCTGAAGCTGACACAATCCTACAAACCCTTTGGGCTTTGGTGATCTAAGGTGTTCTCGGTCACAGGAGCAGGGGAGGCAGCAGGTGCGCGGGAAGGGAAGGCAGCTGCTAAAGAAGATCCTCGAGAGAAGGACGGGGCTGCAGGCTTGGCGTGGGCAGGGAAGCGAGGCGCTACATGGAACGGAAGGTGCAATTGCAGCTGGTGCCTGGGATGGCTGAGTGGGGGCTGGATCCCGGCTGGGTGGCGTGGCGTGTTTCTGGAAGGTGAGCAATGCACCGATCCCTAGAGCGGCTGGAGGGGGGCGGGGGCAGTGCACGGCGGGAGAATGGGGAGGACCGATGGCGGCAGGTGCCTACAGAGGCAGGGGATGGAGCTGTGCTAAGAGCGAGGTGGGCAGGTCCAGCTGTTACTCACAGTCTGCATCCGGGTATCGGCTTCCACGATGGTTTTTTCCGCTCGATGAGCTCGGACAGCTCCTTGCTGGAGATGCTGCGGGAGAGAGGAGCAGAGGCACTGAGACGGGTGCCTGCAGGGGAGCGAAGGGGCAGCCCCCTCCCCTGCCCGGCGGCCACACCCCCGGCCCTCAGGAAGGGGCTTGCCCTGGGGGTGCTGAGCCAGCCCTGCTGCCTGTGCCAGGGGCCCTGACCCCAGCTGAGGGGCGGGAGAGGACGGCGCTGAGCTCAGCTCAGCCTGCCAGGCCGTGCAGCTGCACATGACTCACTGCTGCCTGTCTCATCCTTTCCAGAAGCTCAGCCGCCCTGCCAGGTTAGGATCTCACATGCTGCAGGCCGGGGCCCCTTCCCCTTCCCCTTCCCCACCACGGCCAGGCCCGGCCTCAGGAGCTAGGGGCATGAGAGTGAGGAGGAGGAGGAGAGCTGGGAAGGGAACTGGTTGTGTGCACGTCCTCCATCTCTCATGGCGGAGGGTTCCAGGCCCAGGGGGTGAGTGCAAACTTCCCTGTTTACTGAGGCTGCAGGACACGGGGGACCTGGCCAGTCTCCCTGGCATTCTGCCTCCCCAATACAGCCTGTGCTGATCAGTCACCCCCAGCCAGGGGTCCCCACCATTCGGGCCCGAGTGGTGGCTGCCGGCTGACCTGCATCCCCCTTCAAGCCAGCAGCTGCTCCGTGGGCAGCACCGACACGGGTGCATCAGTTTCGCAGACCCCGGGAGCTGCTCCGGGCTCTCAGGACAGATTAGGTCGCAGCTCGTCCCTGCCGGTGCCGATGGTCCCACGTCAGCAGCGAGGGAGAGGGCACAGGGCTGGTGGGGACGAGGCCTCACACCATAGTGTGAGGATGGGATGCAGGGACTCTCCCACCGGTGCTGGGCCAGAGGCAAAGGGTTACCATGGATCTCGGGGTGGGGGGGGGGAGGACACTGCAGGGCTGAATTCCGGCTGCAGAACCTGCTGGACTGGCCCTACCGCCAGCAAGGAGAGCGCAGCAGGGCAGGATGGGCTAAGGTGCAATCCGCATCCTGCTCTAATCACATCAGGGCCTTCCCAGTGCGGTCCAGGGGGAGGCCCTGGTGTAACTCCAAGTTAAAGCTGAGCTGCCCTTTGCCTCCTGAGCCCCGAGAGCCCAGCGGGGCCACTGGGTATTCAGAGGCTAGCGTGTTACAGAGCACGGCTGGGGTGTTTCCAGGAGAGACAGGTGCCCTGAGGGTGGAGAGGGCAGGGCAGCGCCCCAGCTGCAGAGAGTTGGCTTGCTCCATTCCCAGTCAACACGCATCAGGTGTGGATCTGACTCCTGGTGAGAACTGGAGGGTTCCCTCCGGCTGACGGCTACAGCTGACTTGCCCCCTTCCCGCAGGTCCCTGAGCATCTGGCTGGGGGTGCTCCCATCAGGCCAGGGCAAGTGAGGCTGCCACCTGGACACGGCTGGCAGCCCCTAGGCCAGGGGAGCTCTGTGTGAGCCATGCTCCAGCTGGGACAAGCTGAAGTTGCCCGCCCCTGGGCACGTCTTATGCCCTGGCCCTGGGACTTGTGCTGCAGTCTGCCTGGGAAGCGTGTCTGGAACGTGGTGTGATCCGCGGCCTGAAAGCTCTGTGGGGTCTGGCTGAGACTCCCCTGTCCGAGCCAGTAGCCACCAGCGGGCTAAGGGCGAAGACTCCCGCGCGCTCCGGCTCCCTGCATTTCCACTGCCGCGTGTCGGCTGCCGGATTGGGCCGGCGTGGGCAGGCGCGTACTGGCAATCAAAATAGGCCCAGGAAATGGGTTGAGAATGGCCCTCCCCGCGATATCACCCCTGCACGCCCCTCAAGCCCCGCCCCCTGTGTCATGTCCGGCACACGTCGCAGGCGGGGGGTCGGGCTCTGCGTGCCGCATGCAGCGCGGACACGGAGCTGCTCGGAGTTAGGGACAACGGCGGGCGGACACGATGGCCCACCGGGAAATTCCCGGAATCTCGCCAGGCCAGTCCGCCCCGGGCGTGGGGGCGCTAGCCTGTGCGGGCCGGGCTCCTCCTGCAGCAGCAATCCTGGCTGCTTAGCCGGAGGGAGCCACGCGGCAGGGAGAGCAGCTCCCGATCTAAGCCAGCCAAAGGGGGACAGGCCCCCCAGCGCGGCGCTCTCCATGTGAGTGGCTGCCCCGGGAGCGCTCGTGGAGCAGGCCGGTTTGTCCCCGGAGGGCGGTGCGGCGGGGGAGCGTTCCTCCCCGGAGTAGCCGTGCTGACTTCAGTGTGACGGTGGGCACGGGCAGGATCAGGCCCCCTCACACCGGGCCTGGGGGGTTTCTAAAGCAATGAAAGGCTCCAAGCCCCATGCTCAGGCTGGGGCCCAGCTGCAGTTCACAGGGAGGGGCGTCTTCCTTTCCATGCAGGGATCCTGGGCATCTAGATCCGGCTCCTTGTTTCTTGCTAGTGCCTGCTCAGCCACCGACTGTTCCCTCCGCTGCTGCGGGTTACGTCACCCAGGTGCCCAGCGGGGCCCGGGCCTGATCGTCTGCCCCAGCGCAGGGCAGGCGTGGAAAGCTGCCCTTCCGCACGGGGGGTTGCCGGCGTGGGCAGAGCAAAGGCAGCTCAGGGCCCGCATCTTGTCTTGCTTCACAATGCCTGGTGGCGGAGCGAGAGGAGATTTTGCCCCTTCCCATGCAAAGACACAAGGAGAGCCCTCGGCAGTATTTACTGGAGTCTTCAGATCCCGGTCGCCCCATTGCAGGGGTCTGATGCTTTGAGCTGGCGCCGCACAGACCACCCAGGCACCTAAGATCGGCCACGTAACGATGGAGCAAAGCCCCTGCCAAGCGGATCCAGAATCGCTGCTGCGAGCCCATGGTCGGGCCTCAGTTTGTTGCCTCTCTCTCATCTGGAGGGTGGCAGGGGCTGGCTCCCCTGCTGGCAC